TTTTCTTCCCCCTTCGACATCTCCCCCACGCCGCTCCCGACAGTCCATGACTGTAGCCACCCCCAAACAGTACTTGTTGTTGTTCTTCACTTCATTTTATGAATTCCAGCCCTTCTAGCTTGCTGCCATCGCCTCGGATAGCCACCCCTTGCCATCCTCCAATCCACGAACCTTCCACTACGACACCCCGGGGGGGATGCTTGGTGTTGGATAGATAGTAGGTGGAGGGGTTGGTTGGATGTTGCGGGTACAATTGATGGACGGAAAGGTTGGCCGATAGCTTTGGAAGGCAGAACCGAGGGTCGGCGACTGCAGGAAGGCAAGGGTAAGGGCGGCTGCAGCTGGTTGGAAGGCTTGGTGGCTGCAAGCTCGGGATGGCAGGAAAATTGGGGAAGAGAGTTGGAAGGAGAAATATCTCTGCGGGGTCGAGCTACAGTCGGAGCACCACCCGAACCCTTTGAGACATTCACCACCTTGGACGTGTTACAGCCGGAGCGTCTCCTCGCTGTGGGATGTAACCCTCGGAAGGGAGAAACGGCTCATAGGTAACAAACTAAAATATGGAATCATCAAAAACCAACTCTAAGCCATCAAAACAACACATATATAAGCTAGAATAGGAAGGGGAGGCTTTCCCATTTAGGTGACAAACAAAAAAGGCACGGAGGGGCTGACGGTAACCAAGAAGACAAGAATCAGAATAGGAGAAAAGGAGGAGCGGTAGGATAGGAACGGGAGTGCCCAATCCCACTTGATAGATTGGGCGGCCGGTCTAGCCTCCCTGTTGGACCGACTCTGCTGAACTGCATGGTTCAACCCTCCTTGGAGTCCCGTGTCTGAGGGACCCGTGTTCTCCCTTTTTCCACGTCTGAGAGCCCCGCATCATCGCATGTACTAGGCAATGTCATCTCCTAAAATATTGTACTCTGACATCTAATCAAGGATAAAACTTTCAAAGTAGATGGATGAAAAGGAAAATCTCCATGCTTACAAGAAGAGTTTTGTTCATACAATAAGTTGTCTTTCATAATTAAAAGTTCCAACTTTCACTACTGGTAGAATTAATACATTACTAATAAACTACTAACAAATTAGGGACAAATTTAGTGATAGACTAGAAGAATCCTTAAAATAGTAAAATCTAAAATACATAAAATAACTCAAACGACCATGCAAGTATAATATTCAAGCTTTATCCTCACATTTATGCTTATCTAGGTTTCTCTCGATGGCTTCTAGGATAGCCACGAGGAAGCTGGCGAGGAGCTGTCCAAAAAGGTTAAATTCTTTTTCAGCACAGCTGTTGAAAAATGGGATGCAGATTTCTATGTTAAAGTTGATGATGATGTAAACATTGATATAAGTAAGTCATCTATCATTTCCTTCTTTAATTTAAGAATAAATTGAACACTAGCTTTCTCAATGATGAACGTTGTCTCACTTTGTTCCTTTTTGTGGCATAATAGATGGACTCATCGAAATCCTTAAAAGCCATCATGATAGACATGGTGCGTATTTGGGATGCATGAAGTCTGGTGCTGTAGTTAGTGAGGAGTAAATTTCTAACCCTTGAACTATTATTTTAGGGAAATTTATGTTCGTAACCCACAATTCTTTTGTATTTACATATCTCACACCACCCACAATTCTTTTGTATTTACATATCTCACACCTTAACTTTCATAATAGCATATTGGTGCTTTAAACCTATGCATGAAAGGTGGATTTCACTTTTAAAAATTGATGATAGTACTATTTTTGATTTGATATTAAAGATTTGAGTGCTATGTGTGTAAACATGAATGCTTAGATGTTAGATATGTAAATGCATAAGAATTTTGTGCTACATTGTACATTTTCGTTATTTTATTATTCTATTATAGTAAGCAGTTAACTTTTATTGCTTTGGAGGTCAGTCGATGTTATTTGAACTGCTTAACTTGATGATATTTTTACTAGTAACTTTAGTTCTTTGCCTTCAACATATTTTGTATATCTGTTTAACCACTCTATAGCTCTTCAAATATGAATATAGTGTAGCTAATTTGTGAATGAAATGTGAATAATTCTTCAACTCTTCGAACATTCTAAAATTGTACAATCTTTAGAGTTGCTTTATATTCTTCCGCTGAAATTGTCTTTGCAATCGTCAATTCAAAGCTGTGTGAACATCTATCATTTTATTTGGATTTGTTGATCTAAATTTCTAAACGTGTAAAGTGACAAAATAGTCCCCTGCCTATTTACAGGGGTTATTTTAATCCTAGAGTCCATAAAAGTGTCAAATTAGTCTCATATATTTTTTTAATACGGTCTAAAATAGTCCTCATAAAGGGTTATCTTTTACCTCCATTAAAATAGTCTAGAAACTAAATTGATACTTTTATGGACTATGGGACTAAATTTACTCACCGGATTTTTTTGACATTTTTCTCATTTCTAAAACGTCACATTCAGTGAGATGCATATTCTTAACACCTAAATTCTTTCTATAAAGTATGCTAATTCTTAAAATAACATGAGCAGTTTTTTGTGGGTCAAACTAATCCAAATCCCTACTATTCTATATTTTCTTTGTGTTTCTGATCAATTTTGTTATTTGCAGAGGAAAACCGTGGTATGAGCCTGACTGGTGGAAATTTGGTGATGATAAGTCGTGAGTTCTCTTATGAATGTTATTTAACTAGTTGTTGATTTTCCATTTTTATGCCCTTCCTCTATTTGCCATGACCATGCCTTTAATTTAAATAATTTCTCTAAATGTAAAAAATAAATTAGGTGTTAAATATGTAAGTACATAGGAATTGGGTGGTATGTATGTAAATGCTCCCTTTTTCCCCTAGCACGTAGATATAGAACTTGAATATGCTAATTAAATGGTGCAGTTCTACTTGGACCTGTGACAGCAAAGCTCACCATATCCCATGATTTGTGAAGTCTGTTGGTCGGCGAAGATTCTAATCTTGGTTGACCAACGAGGTTACGCATCTTTTCAAACCCATAGATTTGAGAACATTTTATCAATTAAAATAAGAAGAGCCCTTTGTTATAGAGCTGCATGAAAATTATTAAAATTTAAATAAGAGCCCTTTGTTATAGCCTGAAAGTTATTTCCACTTTTTATATATGTAAAAGTTGAAATACAAGTAGTTTGTTCTTGATTATGAAAGGTTTTAGTTTGTATTTACGTTTGAATGAAACTTATTATAGCTTGCAGATTGATTTGAAAATTGTTACCACTCTTTTTATATGTAAAGTTGAATTTGAAAGTAGTTTTTCTTTTACTATAAATATTCAACATCTTTGACATTTCATTTATGTAATGAAATCCATACCTTCAAGTGAAAAGAAAAGGGCTGAAACTTGAAAATACCTTAAATTCTACTATATGATTCCCCAATATAGTTGGAATTGATTTTTTAATATGTGCATTGTATCCTCACTGAGTAGCATCATCAATTTGCTTGCTTATTCTTGCTGCATTGACTCACGCTGACGGTTTTGTTTGGCCAATTTACATGCATACCAAACAATTCTTATGTATTTACATTTCTAACACCCAAAGTTTGTTTTTTTACACTTACAACACTTCGATATCATAAATCTATGCATGAAAAAGGCTAGTTTTAATGCAATGTTAAAGATTTGAGTGATATGAATGGAAATAGGTGTTAGATATGTAACTACATAAGAACTATGTCATGTGTATTCAATTGCGGCAACGCCCCCACCCGCCACCCACCCACCATATATGCAAGGCCTCTTAGTTAGAAAGCCTGAGCTCCCTATGAAAGTCCTTGAACCCAAAACCAATTTCTTTTCAATATTGATTTAACCTTCCATTTTTCTTGTTATAGATACTTTCGACATGCAGCTGGCTCCATGATCATACTATCAAAAAGCTTGGCACAGTATGTCAACGTAAACAGGTAAGTGTGAAATTTCTCACAGCATGGATTTCATAAATTTGTATTTGATAGAAGATTTACATATATACCACATAATTCCTATGCATTTACATATCTAACACTTAAATTTTGATTTTCATACTTATAGCACTTCACCTTTGCATGAAAATGTCTGAAACACTTTTAAAAAATTACTGATGGTAAAATTTTTTATTTCATATTAAAAATTGAGTGTTATAACTATAAAAATCAAAATTTAAGTATCAGATATGTAAATACTAAAGAATTGTGGTATATATGTAGATGCCCCAGATTTATTTTCTTAATATAAAAAATTATTTTCATTTATGCTAACACTTAAACAGTCCATAAAGGGATTTACTCATAATAACTGACATATCTCCATATTTTGCTCATACACAGTGCGTCTCTAAAATCTTACGCTCATGATGACATCTCTGTGGGTTCATGGATTATGGGCCTTGATGCAAGCTATGTTGATGATGACCGGCTTTGTTGCAGCAGCACCAGACAGGGTAGTCATTTTAATTTTATTATCTAATATTTTTCCACTTTTTGCTATTAAAATTAAATCAGCGTGTATTTATTTTTGGAAGACTTGCATACATACCACTCAATTCTTATGTCTTTACATATCGTACACCTAAACTTTAATTTTTACATACATATCACCTTACCTAATCATGAAGGTGTATTTCACTTTTTTTTCCAAGTTAAAGTGGTGGTATTTTTTATGTTATCTGAATGATTTACGTGGTATAAATATATAAAGCAAAGTTTAGGTGTTAAATATGTAAATTTGTAAGAATTGTGTGAATGTATGTAAATGACCCTGCCCACATGATGTTATATCTTTTTTTTGTTCAATTTACAGAGAAAGTTTGCTCCAGGGCCTGAGCAGTAGCGCTAATTTGTGGGATAAAAGCTTTAGATGTCCAGTGGTCTAGAGACATATGCAAGCTGCGGAGGTGCATTTGTAAGCCTGGGAATATTTTATAAATATTTTTTATTTTTTAAAAATGTAGAAATATTTGTCAAATTTTACATGCCTATGCTAATTTAAATGTATCACAGTGAAAAAATGTCCCTTCAGATCTTTTTCTTTTTCTTGGCTTACTTTTCCGATTCTTTTTCCTTATTTAAGTTGGAAAAGTGACAGTTTTTAATTACACCCAATTAAATCATATATCTAACAATTTTATTTTTCGTCTTCCTCGAAATGTGCTAAGTTCTAGCTAAGGCTGTAAATGATATGCACGTTTAATAAGTTGCTCGGTGCTTAACTTGATAAGAGTTTGCTCGAAATGTGCCAAGTTCTAGCCCTTTTCTCTTTTATAATTGCCAATCTTGTTGGATGTTGTTAGCTAGGCTTGCTAGTTGCCGTTTTTCTTTTTCTTATAGCATGTTAGTGACTGTATTAGTGTTTTTGGTCGATGTATGTATATGATATGACATGATTCAAGTGGATATATCAAAACTGGAGTCAACTTTTCCATAACGCAATTAGTTTTAGTCATTTTGTTATTAGCCGGTTGAACCTTCATAAATGCTAGAGGTGGTGGTAATGTGCTTATTTATATATATATATTATATATATATATATATTCAAACTCCAGTTCATGCACTTGATGCTCTCCAAGCTGAAGCTATGGTCTTTTAGGCACTGAAGTTGACGGTTGGAATTTTCTGCACATTGAATCACTGTATGCTTCTTCTATAAAAAACTTGATAGGAACGAAGAGGCCCCTTGGCACCTCATTCACTTAGTTAATAGATTCATCTCCTTAAAATTCCAGATCCAAACCACTTACTTATATTATCATGCAAAAATGGAATTATTTTATTGTTTTAAACTGCGGATGCCCTACTTCATTCCATGAATGTGATGTTTAAAGGAAGCTCTTTCAAACAAAGCTTAAAACAAGTAAGGCTTCATTTGAAAGCGCAAGTTGCCTCCTTTCCATCGCCGAGAACGCCAATAGAATACCCGTCATTTATTTGACCGGCAAACTTCGAAAGACGAGCCTCTACTTGAACGGCGATATTCACCATTTTCATATCTCTATGAACTTCATTCTAGTATTCAACGTTACCATGGGGAAAAAGTAAGACGGGAATGATAAATGGGGAAAAATACATGAAAAATGGAGAGTAAAAAATGATGCCCTATTGTTCTACCAATGTTATATGGTTATTAAAAAAAAAATACAAATGAATATAGTGTTAATAACTGTAATGTTATATCGTCATTTATTTTAAAATTATTTTTAAAAGAGTTTCCATTTTGCCAATTTATTATTGTTTAGTATAAAATCGTAGTGGTCAACGTTGAAGGCCCATTGCGTCGTCTCCATCCACCTTCGAATCCCTAAGCATGGAGGTCGAGGTAAAGTTCCGCCTCCCCAACGCTGCCGCCCATCAGCGCCTCTCCGACGCGCTTGCTCCCTTCCATCTTCGTACCCACATGCAAGAGAACCTCTTCTTCGACGGATCCGCCGGCGAGCTCTCAAACCATTTCGCCGTCGCCCGCATCCGCTTCTACGACGGCGATTCTCGCTGTGTCCTCTCTCTCAAGCTCCGCGCCCGCCTCGTCGACGGTATCAGTCGCGTCGAAGAGATCGAGGAGGACATCGATCCCGCGCTCGGCCGCGCTTGCGTCGCCGAGCCCTGGCGTCTGGGTTGCCTTTCGGCATCATCGAAGATCATGGGGAGGGTTAGGGATGAGTTTGGGATTGGGGGGGAGGGGGAGGAGAAGAGAGGAAGTTCTTTTATCTGTTTGGGAGGGTTTAGGAATGTGAGGGGTGTGTATGGGTGGAAGGAGGGGCTGACGTTGGAGCTTGATGAGACGAGGTACGATTTTGGCGCTAGTTATGAGTTGGAATGCGAGACTGGAGAGCCGGAGAAGGCCAAGGAGATGCTGGAGGGGTTTTTGTTGGAGAAAGGGGTGGAGTATTCCTACTCCAAAGCATCCAAGTTTGCAGTTTTCAAAGCTGGAAAGCTGCTTCCCTGAGTGAGTTCTGTTTTTTATCTTATTTTTTATTTTTTTTGCTGGTGTAGAATCTTAATTTCTGGCGATTTGGTTGTTATGTTTTAGTTAGAGTGGTGCTGCTTTTGAGACTTGATTGTTCTACAGAAATTTTACTAATGTTTGGTAGTTCATTGAATGATAAATGGTTTATTGAAGGCGTAGGGGATTATCCAATTACCAGTGTTCTTTTAATATGTTGGGAATAGCCGTCAATGGGTAATGTTGAAGTCTAAATTGTCCTAAGAAAGGGCTTGCCAGAGGAGAGAAGAAATGACATAAGAAATGTAGAAGAGAGAAAATTTTCTGTCTGATATTGCAATTCCTTTATATCCGGAACAAAGTGTCATACCCTTTGCATTGCCTCTCCTTTTTTTTTTTTTAAGTTTGGTCGGCCCTATGGGTGTTTTTTTTTTAAGTTTGGTCGGCCCTATGGGTGATTACATAAATAGCTACACGAAAAAAGAAGAAAATACATTAAAATAATATCAATGATATAACAAGGTGTGTTTCTCTTTATATGGCGTAGGGTTGTCTAATTATGCGGCGAATCGATGAAATTGACTTGACTTGCCGAACTGATTTGTTGAGTTGATTGGGTGAACTGCTTTAGTTGTACTATTTGGCTAAGTTGGTTGGACGAGTTTGCTAAGTTGTCTTGCTAAATTTATAGAGTACGTTTTGTGGCCTTATGCTCTCTCTTATGGTTGTGAAAATCGAATTGGATATTGAATCAGAAGGATTCAATTGTTCAATCACGGTTGAAGTGGATGACATAATAAAATAATTTTAATATAATTTAAATAATATAATAACAATGCAATAATATTAATTTTATTGATTTAATAAATATATTTTAATTTAAAATGTTTTACTTTCGAATATTTTGAATAATATTCTAAATCAAAATTTTGAGATACGATATATTTTTTTCATTTTTAATTTAAATATCTTATTTCTTGCCATTAGAGTGAAATCAAAAGACTCAAATTAGACAATATTTGAACTGACTGATTCTAGAAATCTGACTTGTTCACTGGTTTGTCAATTCAACCCCCCGGTTTTAACTAATTTTATTTTGATTTTATGCAAAAATGTATTGAATTTGCATTGAATTGGTTGAATATCGGTTCATGGTTGAATTCGTCGAATCATTTGGTCCACTTAGTTTTTAAAACCATGCTTCCCCCTGAATATACTTAGAATATCCTTAGTTGGGTCACGTTCTTGGGGCTAGCCCATGCTTTGAACTAGGGCAGGAAGTTTTTAGCTATATAAATAACTTTCTGGATAGATTTAGTCAATGTTTAATATTGCAGAATTGAGTATTGAGACGTTATTCATTTTTGAGATAAGATGTAAGCCTTAAGAAGATCCGAGGCTAAGCTTCACAGTTTGAAACTTATGTAGAGTCAAAATAAAGAGAGAAAATATATTATATTAGCATTATAACTTATAGTTATATTAAAGAAAAACATTAACCTTCTAATATAATAAATAGTGAAATTATGTTTATATTAAATAAAAAATTGTGTAAACCGCAAAATATAATGTAATAATTTGCACAAAGCAAAAAAATATAAAATAGAAATCAACTTACCAAATTAATATAAAAATAAAATGAAAGTAACATGAATATCAAAGTAAAATATAAGATGATTTTAACATATATATTTCTCTCACTTCTATTGTCGGTCAGAACAACATATATAGATTTAAATAAGAATTTAATTAATAATAAAAAATCCTTAGCACTCTCATCACTCAAAGAGGCTTCATTTGAGTCATCATCATAATATATAGCTTTTTCCTCTGTCTCTTCTTTGGTTGAGTCTAACCATTCTTTCTATTTTTTTAACCATAATTATCTCTCTTCTATAATCCATACTAAATTAGAATATTAATTGACATTTAAGACAATGTCGAACAAGCAAATTTGTATAAATATATTTTCTTTTTATCCCTTATTGTCTAGTGTTTAATGTGTTGGTGTTGTTTTTGTCTCCATCAAACAAATTAACGTTTAAAACTTGTTATAACTCAGATGGTGTGAATTTGTTGTTGTCATCCAACAAGTATTCATCTGATAACATATCTTCATATAGCATGTGATCCTGATTAATCTTTTGTTGTACAATGCATGTGTCGAGGAATTTATCCTTGAGATTGTGACGTGATTTCTCTTTCTTTGTATGAACTTGATTATATATTCTAATTAAGCTCACATTTATATGGCGAGCATGTAAGTCCTAGTACGTTAACTATAAAATATTGTAGTTTTGGAGTATTATCACCAAACTGAATTCACCATACGATTGTTTTTAAAAGAAAATTGTATATTTAAAAATTAAAAATTTATTATTTAAATACCCGGTCTTTATTTTAATGAACACATTAAATATTTAAAGTATATTGAGAACATTTTAAATTAATTTTTTTTATTTCTAAGTAGAATAAATTGCATATCAGCAGTTGTCCTCTCAGTTGGAATAACAATCAATCAGTCCAGAGAAGTATAATCCCCAACTAGATATCAAAATTAGTGGATTTGTTCTCTGCATATAGAAATTGAGAGTTAAAGAAATATTCAACAGCATGTAAATGGCTGTGGAGCTGAAACTCCTATTTCGCATCAATAATATTGAAAATCTCTCTATAACTGGTATCTGCTCAGCTTAAGTTATTAGTTATTAACTCATTGGTCTTATCCATTGGATTATAAATAAAATCATAATTAAATTTTTTCTTTGCATCCACCATCTTTGGAACTTGAACTGATGACTTTATGATTGTTATTCCATATATGCCAAAATTTTTATTAAAATGTTTATTTTAGACTTTTTTCTCCTTTGTTTTTGTTTGCTCGTGCATATCTAAGCAATTGAGTGATTGTGAACTTTTATCTTCAATGGTTGTCTAGCTTCCAACATACTATGTAGAGTTAAGAAGGTTGTAATAATTCTTTTTTAGAAAACTTACTCATCAAAGGTAATAAAACACCCAAGAATAAGTATAATTGTGAATCTTCTTGGTTTTAGTTAGGGTATTTTTGTACTGGAGCAATTCATCAAGCTTCTATAAAATTAAGTTTAAGCAGTGTGCAGCATAATGCATCTAATATTAGATATTTTTGCTTCTCTATTAATTTATTCTTAGCTGTTCTATAAGCATTAATATTATCTCACAATTTGGACCATCAAATGCTCCCCAAATTCTTCTCTCTGTCTAAAAACTTGCTCTGCATCATTCATCTGATCCAATGCTTTTACAGATTTCAAAAACATAGTATCATATGGATTATTTATCAGAATATTAATCAAACTTCTAATTTTTATGTTAAAGCACCCATTAGATATTGTTATTACTTCAGGTTAATTACATATTCTTTTAATCTTTCTTTTGCTTTTATCTCTATTACTCAGCTCCCCCTTTAAAATTAATATTCTCAAAATATAAATAGATATAACATATCATATTAAAGTAAGAAGGGAAGTTTGCTACTATGAATAATGCCATTCTCATAAAAGAACATCTCAACTATCCATGCGAACATGTTTATGTATCTCTCTAGCATACTCTGGAGTCATTTTCTGAGTTGCAGATCCCTCTAGGTTTGTACCTCTAATAGACATTAGTTGTAGACATGATGAGTCATTGCCGCTACGCTCACTCACATAATATGAGCTGACTCTATCATCAAATTTAGTCGTGTTGACATGATTCCATATCCTCTTTCACTACTTATGACACTTTAGCACATGGTTTATTATTTTTATGTGAGCCAAAATGTTTTTTAACTACCTTCTCGCAGTACTGACTTCGCAAATAAACAGTTTTATTATTGCCTCCAATGTCAACTTGCACGTTATATCTTTATGCTGAATTATTTCAATTACCCAATGTAGATTTCTTCTTGCCTTTAACAATTTCTTACAAAATCTTAGAATAAAAATTTTGTTTTTCTATTCAGACAAACTCGAACTCATGCAAGTATTCGAAGGAAAAAAAAAAAAGGTTTAGAGTTGTGGAAACTTTTAAACTATTTGGTGATGAGAAGAAGGAAAAATTATTTCATACCGGTGTCCGATTTACACCGTCGATTACCGATCTCCACCGTCTGATCAAAAATTTTTTTTTTTTTAAATGGGCCCATGCGGTGTCCGTATGTAATAATTTTTCGAGAAGAAGGGGGGTGAGGGTGACAACAACAAAGACGATGGCAACGGCAAGCGATGGCGGGTAGCAGGCTTCAACGACGCCAACAAGAAATGGCGACGGTGGCAATGCCAGAAGCAGCAGGTGGTGGCACTGAGAAGTTTGACTAGGATGTCCTGAGAGGGACAAGGAGATCTTGCGTGAGAGGTGAGAGCTGAGCGTGGGTTGCGCTTTGGTTAGTATTTGAACTGTTGTATCATAGGAATTGAAAAAAAAAAAAAAAAGAAACTTAAGCGAATGAAGTGTGCGCCTCAATCTAATTGAAACGAGGTGTGCTTAAAAAATATGAGTCATATGTCTCACACTAGCAGATCAAGGTACACACCTCGACACATTTTTTTTCGAAGCGTCTCTCAAATTGCGCAATTTTAAATAATGGGTCAAGTGATAGAGGTGAGTAGAATAAGAAGTGCACAAATTCAGTCATGACAATGCTCGATTGGCCTCACAAATAAGGTTCATTCAATTAGTCATCAATAATAAATGATTAGGAGTACACTGCATGACTTTTATTTTTAGAAATTGGATAAATAATGGATTATAATGGACACTGAATAACTATTTTGAAATCTACTATGAAAGATTGCTCTTTCTTGGCTATAATTTAGTGGACTTGTATTGCATGAACAATAAAGAAATCTTGTTTTGAAGAGCATGTAGCAGTTGGCCCAAAGCATCATCTTATGGAAGAAACAACGACATGAAGAACTCCGAAGAACTCGGAGATTTGGAGACTCGGGTGATGGGGGTGGGTGCCAAATTTCATAATTATGTAATTTTTTAATGTGAACCGACAATTTATTTGGTGAAGATGGTGGTGATGCTTGTGAAAATTTCACTACTTAGCATAATTTGGAGCAAACTACATCCAAAATGGTGTCCCTTTTGATATAGTGACAAATGGATTGGAGGAAATATTAGTGTAACTTTTAAATGCTACATTCTCACTTTCAATCACTTCATTAGATGTAATTTTTTTGTGGAACCTTTAATAATAAGAAGATTTACATACATCCTACTCAATTCCAATGTATTTACATATATACCATCACCTAAATTTCAATTTTTACTCGTATGCTACCTTAACAATTGCATGAAAAGGTGTATTTTCATTTTTTTTAAAAAAAATTAAAAATAGTGGCATTTTTTATGGGTATAAATGCAAATACAGAAGTTCAGGTGTTGGATATGTAAAAAGATAGAAATTGGGTGTTATGCATCTAAAGCCCTATAGATTATTTTTATTTATAAAATAAAAAAAAAATTCAATTAATTAAGGCCATCCTTTAGCAAAACTTATGCTCTCTTTTCAGTCAGAATTTACAACGCATTACTTCTTATTTTGTTGTTCAAAAGCAATTTAAGTTTACATAAATACCACCCAATTCCTATGTATTTAGATATCCAACACCTAAACTTTTACATTTATACCACCTAAATCTTTCGCATCAGGTAAATAATACCAGCATTTTAACTCTTAAAAAGTAAACTACACATTTTTCATGCATAGGCAAGCTGGCATATATAAAAGTTGAACTTTAGGTGCAAGATATGTAAATACATAAAAATTGACTGATATTTATGTAAATCTTCCTTTATTTCAATTCGTTGAATCCAGTTTCTAAGTAATTTTCTTATGAAATACATAAATCTTCACAAAAAATAAAAATATAATTTTTTATTGGGGATTTACATACCACACAATACAAATAGACCACACCTACCAAGTTAAAATGGTTCAGAGGTAATCTTCAATACCTTGGGCCAAGGGCTCTTTGAGATCACTTTTATTTTTATTTTTTCATCTTTCATTTTTATTTTATTTTAATTTGAAACAAAACATATTTGATTAAAATATCATTATGTTTTAGAAAGAAAATAATAATAATAACATATAAACAACACAACAAACATATCTTTTAAAAAAAAAAATTTGAAAAAAAAAAAACAAAAATAGCAAAAATAGATCCCAAACAAATAGGATCCCAAACAAATAGTTAATTTTAAGGAAAATGTATATACATAACACACAATTCTGATGTATTTACATATTTACACTTATAATACTCTTTGGTGTCACAAACCTACGCATGAGAAAATGTACTTCATTTCTAAAAAAGATGGTGATTGCGGTGTTTTTCATGTGATGTGAATGCAAATATAAAAGTTTAGGTGGGTATTAGTATGTAATTGCATCAGAACTGTGTGGCATGTATGTGAATGCCCCTAATTTCAAGTGTTTCACATGCTCTAGGTTGATGCATCATCTCTCGCGTACACTGACTAGTCATTACATTGTTCACAACATATTTGATCACCAATTCAGCCAATCTGAATAAAACCAAACATCAATTCGATCCTAATGACACAAATGATAATGTAAGCTTGAATGATAATATTGCCCCTTAATATCTTACATGAAAATACACATTCTAATACATGTCAAGTTTGAGAAGTTTCAACAATAATGATCAAGTTAGCATACCAAAAAGCATATAGATAAACTACAAAATATATTATCACTACTAAATACAAACTGCACAAGTCATAACACGTATTAACAAAATGAAAAAAAAAAAAACACATAAAAGGATTAATCGAATTTCAACAAAAAACTACAATTTGATGCAATAATAGTTCATTGCAACATTTCAAAATAAAAAATAAAAAAACACTATAAATTAATATATCCACCCTATTTACGTTGAAGTACATACATAATATAAACTGTGCTTGTAACAGAACCTTGCTTACAGGGAGAGGAAGAGGGAGAAAGGAGAGCTTCATGTCAAGCATCCGGTTCCTTCAGAGCAACAGCATATGTAGTCCAAAAGTCGGAACTGAAACATGTCAAGAAAAAATGGAAACTTTGAACCAATAATGCAGTTAAATTTTCTGAATATTCTTCAGTAAAATCTTAAAGGGAATTTACATACATAATATCCGATTCCTATGTTTTTTTCATTTCTAACACAAAAAACCTCGCTTTTTTACATTTATGCCAACAAAATTTTTCATATTACATTAAAAAATACCACCATTTTAACTTTAGCAAAGTGAACTCACCATTTTCATGCATAGATAAGGTGGTGTCTTTAGCTGTTAAATATGTAAAGTTGTAAATACGTAGGGAATTAAGTGGCATGTATTTTAATCTCCAAATCTAAAACAATTATTACCACTGTTAGAAGGGCCCTTCCAGATGAAGATCACATGGAAAAGAATGATCCACAGATTACTTTTGTTTAATCATCGCTGTTCGGAAGCGGAGATTCCAGTTGGAACTGATGATGGTAGGCTGCTTGTTGACCCGTTCTCGGTAGGCGGCAGAACACCCCATTTTCCTTCGGATTCGAGCGGTTCAAGGGCCGGGGTGGGAGATCGGTTAGCCCCAAGGCAAACTGGTTTGGCTCGGATGGGTGTGCAGCAACCACAAGAGGATAGACATTGGAGCTGAAACAAAGTGTAGAACATCAACAACAGGTTTGGTTCATTTAAAGTTGGTTTTTTGTGTTAATTAAATTACCATATTAAGTATTTAGGTGGCTATAAAAAGTAATTTTAAGCCAGGATCTGTTTGAATAAACAACAAATGAAAAAAACTGAGAATTTTTTAGATATAGAATTAAGTTAAGAGATCATCAAAAGAACCATAAGATATGTATTCAGAAAAATCTATAGTCACATTTAATTTAAACTTTGTCTTTAATTTGTTTTTGTTGTTATTATTATTATTATTATTATTATTAATTTGCATTCATTAGTCCAACAAGTAACATTAAAGATTTTTTCCCTATTAAACGATTAGTAGTAAAATGAAATAATAAGTTTTCTGTTGAAGTTTGATATTCCTTAGCCATTCCCTTGGAAAACCCTTTTATGGCTATTTCCTAAAACTTATTGGATTTTGTTTCTCCTATACTTATTGAGAACATATTTTGTGAAATCTGCAGAGTGAACTACTTATCAAAAGGATTCATTTTAATCTCTTCACTAACTTTTTCTCTAATTTTCTCATGCACGCACAGTAATAATTCTTAGCTTCGAGGGTGAAATTATCATTAGGCTTACAATGAAACCGTAAAGTTTTCAATCTTTTCTACCTAACAAAAATAATGACTATCAGGAATAATGCATTCCAGTAATTGCAAAAATTTCATGCTTCAATAATTCTGAGCAGAAGATTGCAAGGGATTTTTCAGAGAAAAAAACAAATTATGTAACTTTACAGTTTAGCACCATAAGAGACCATTAATAATGCAAGCAGAATTTTTTTCCTAAAAACATACCTAACATTAGCTGGAAGATAAGTACTTGAGTTTATCCGGCATTGAAGTCTGAAGTTTGAAGCATTAAAAATGCATACAGTAGCATCCATAAAGCTCACATATATCAGTTGGCTATCACAGGAGAAGCTGGCATGGGAGATTGCTGGAGAAGAAGCCTCACGAGGTACCCACTGAAGATCAAAAAGAACTTTTAAAGGGACAACCAAAGAAGCTCCTTCAACATGATCCAGATGCTAATGTCGAAACTCATAAAAATTGTGTAAAATGTCAAATAGTCCCCCGACTATTTATATGAGGCCATTTTAGTCTCACAGTCTATAAAAGTGTCAAATTGATCCCCACGCTTTTTAAATTGGGGCTGAAATAGTCCTTCCATATTACAAGAGAGTGGGGATTAAATTCACATTTTTTTGAGCTCTTGAGACTAAAATGACTCGTTGCAAAGTGTCAAAACTTTATAAAAATTACCTGTCTCATACATTCCAGTTTATTTGCCTCGTACATGGCAATCTGGGTCTCATGTACGACGAGGAAATGAATCTGATCCTGATGAAATTGGACACGTGTATCTGAAACAGCAGTAGGTGTTCGGCCAGGAGGAATTTGTAAAAACCTGCTCCTCAGCTTTTCCCATACGTCGGTACCCCATACGCAAAGCTTTTTACAACAAGAAACCAAATATGGTTCAAACAGTTGAAGAGGAATCAATTTGATTCTTTCAGCAATATCACATATAAATGTAAAAGTAAATTGTACATGCATACAACATAATAATTGTGTATTTACATAGCTAACACCTAGTGTTTAATATTTACATTTATAACACTTTGGTGTTAAAATTTATGCATGACAAGGCGTATTTCACATTTTAATAAGTTAGTAATAATTGTTTTTTTATGTGATGTCAAAGATTTTAGTGGCATGTATGTAAACATGAAAGTTCAGGTGTTATATATGTAAATATATAAGAACTGTGTGGTATGTAAGCAATTCCCAATTGAAAAAAGATGTGAGCGTCAGAACAAAAGAACAACCTGACCATCAGCACCAGATGAGACCAGCACATTTAGCGGATGTGAAAAGGCGAGACCAGTAATTCTTTTCGAGTGGCCTCTAAGTTTGCTCTTAACCTGCTTAAGATAAATCATTAGCTTCCCTGACAGTTAATATCGATGAGAGAGTAAATATTGTTTACTAAAGTATTTTACCTCGTCAACCCGGACATTATAAATTTGAATAGTTGAGTCATCCATTCCAATTGCAATTATGTTATTATCTTGAGGATGGAATGCTAGAAATGTTGCAGCAGGTGGTGGGGGCATAAAAGTTGTCATAACCTGTACAATAATAGGCAAAATTTACTCTTTTTCAGCAAGGGGGAAAACATTAAATGATTTTTTTAAACAACGAAAAGCAATTTGTAAATTATTTTTTGGAAGAACTTACCTTAAACGTCATCATATTGAATAGAGAAATTTTTCCGCCTGAGGCAGACATGACATAGGAGTCATTCTTTGATAGAGCAAAGCATGGGACGGCTTCCTCTTGATTTGTATCTGTTGTATCATTAGTCATTAATATACCACTTGGTGGTTGCCATAGTTGAGGAGGAACACTTGTTGTTGCCTACAAAACAGAACATAACAAAAATGAACTACAACCAAACACCTACATTACAATAATAAGTAGGAAGATTTACATACATACCACACAATTCTTACATATCTAACACCTAAACTTTAATTTTTACATATATGCAACCCTACCTATGCATGAAAAGGTGTATTTCGCCTTTTAAAAGTTAAAAGAGTGGTATTTTTTATGTGATATGAAAGATTTGGGTGTATAAATGTAAAAAGTAAAGTTTACATGTTAGATATGTAAATACATAAGAATTGAGTGGCATGTATGTAAATGCAATGATAGGAATACTCTTATCTTCACCTTCCCACTAGAATTCTTTTCATTCCGTGGCCACTTCCAAAGTAGATGAATGGCATTGGATGCTAAAGCCAAAAGGGCAACACCAGAATTTGTATATATTAATCTGCGTATCTGTATCACAACAAGGAAACTCATCATGTTCTACTATTATTAAAAAAAAACATTGTGAAAATCAAGGTGAAACATGAAATGCACTACAATTTTCGCTATAATAAACTTACTACTTAACCACCGTCTATTTTAAAATAAAAATTGAAATGCAAAATTTAAGGTTTTTTTCCCTACTCATGCATTGCTTATGCTAATCTGTAGCATTCAAATGTCTTTGAACTGCACTTTGTTAGAAGAATGACATTTTTGCTGCTAAATTTAAAATTTCAAGTGTTAAATTTAAAGTTGCTGATTTGCAGCTTTCACTCTAAGTGCATTATTGATTCTCATAACGAGGAGCCACTGTATTCTAAGTTTGATTTGATAAAAAATATTCTAAAATGTGTTTATGATTTAATGCAACCGTGTCCTTCAATATTATGAAACCACATCAAATTCTTCATTTGAAAGCATTTTATAACATGGAACCAATTTGTTTACGCCTTTGGCAACAATGACATATAATAATTTGTCATTCAAACCAATTTCTACCAATAACAGCATGGAGAAAGGCTACATATTTTCAAGTATCTACCTTGCTTGATCTCAGGTTATCCATCAGCCGCAGGGATCTGCACTGAGTTGGTTCACTAATTTCAGTCAGCTTCCAGATCTTTGATTTATCCATGAGCTCATCAGTCAATCTAGGCTTCACATCCACCAAATTCCTTGCATCTCCATTCTGTCCAAATTACATATAGAATTGCGTAGAAGTTAATAAAGGCCTTTCAAGATGTAAATTTCCAGCAAGTTCAGCAAGAAAAGGCCAACTAAATTGTGAAAATTAAAAGGAACATTTACATACATACAATTCAATTTTCATGTACTTACAAATCTAACACCAAAACTTCAATGTTAACATATATGCAACTTTACTCGTGCACGAAAAGGTGCATTGCACCTTTTAAAAGTTAAAATGGTGCTTTTTTTATGCGATAAAAATGATTTGGTGGTATAAATGTGAAAAGCGAAGTTTAGGTGTTAGATATGTAGATACATAGAAATTAGGTGGTGGGTATGTAAACGCCCCCAATTAAAAAGGTTAACCCACCGTTCCAGCCGTAACCACTGCAGAGGACCTATCAGTTGTTGCAGCACTGGAGACAGATGCAGCATTTGTGGCAGCAGCAGCAGAAAGAGGATTTACTATTGGCTGCAAAAATAAAAAAAGAATTACATTACTTTTGTTAGATTATAAGTGGGGAAATAAACAGCAAAATAGGTGAACCCAAGTACCTTCATCACAGTTTCTGAAGCTGTCCTCGAAACATCAAAAGTTCGATTTTCAAATGTGCGAAGCAATCTTATTCCATCAGCATTAGCCAATATTTTAATGCCATTATCATGTGTAGAAACAGCCAACAAGGAACCCTCTTTGTTGAAGCGAATCCTTGGACTTGCCTGAGGCCACACAAAAAAAGTTAGAGCCTAGAACACGAGAGCTTTTAAATTTAAAGTAACGAGAGAAGTGTTGAAATGGTTCCCTGACTCTTTGTTGGTTCCATTTTAGTGACAGTTTATAAATGTTTCAATTTAATCTTCAGATTTTTTTAATATAAAGTAAAATAGTCCTCTCCATTAAAACAATCTAAGGACTAATTTTGACACTTTTATAAATTCTAACACTAAAATGGCCTCATCTAACTAGTGAGAGGATTATTTTTGCACTTTACTCTTATAGAAACATTTATTTTAAGATTGAAAACTATTAAGAAGAGAATCTAAACACTTACAACGAGGCAACCCTCAAGATCAACAGTTGTCAAGAGATTGGTGTTGTCCATGTCCCAGAACTTAATCAAGAAATCATCACCGGCAGCTAAAAACCTGTTTCTGGTGGTATCAAATTGCACAACACCCAAGGAACGTTTACGGAACCCTTGATACGTTCTCTTTACAGCCCCTTCGGTTTCATTCCACTCAACAATATGTGATTCACCTTCTTTGCTTGTTCCACATGAGAAAAGTCTAAAAGAAATAAAAATCAATATAAGCCATAAAGAAAAATAATAAGGGGGTGGGGGTGGAGATGTACATGCATTTTACTCAATTCTTATATATTTACATATGTAATACCTAAACTTTAATTTTTATATAGAAAAGGTGTATTTCACTTTTTTAAGTTAAAATAGTGGCATTTTTTATGTTACTGGAATGATTTGGCTCGTATAAATGTAAAAAAGTAAAATTTGGTGTTAGATATGTAAATACATAGCAATTGAGCGGTATGTACGTAAATGCCCCCCAAAAATCAAGACAAAGGCTGAGCTATAAAATGTGTCATTAAATGTTTAACCTTGAACCATCAGCACTATATGCCATGGTTGTGCACCAATGTCCTGGTGCATCATAATCAACTCTCGATCCCAGATTATCATATAACCAAGCTTTTATTTTCCCATCTAATGCCGTTGAAAAAATGAACTGCACAATTAAGCAAAAACAAAATACTTCAACAATTTAAATCTTGCCCAAAGCTGGGTACAAAATGAATTTGCTCCATGGAAGATTATTATATTCATAAAGATAAACTTTAAAAATAATTTAATTAAAATTTGTGACATTAACATAATGGAATATCAATCATATTGAAAAATAAAAGAAAGATGCAAAAGAGCAGAATAATTTTGCTACCTGAATGTTTTCCTTGTGATGAGGGCAAATAGAATATACAGGTGCATCATGCCCTTCAAACGTGTATAACTTTGCCCCAGTAGTTGCATCCCATACCTACAATAAATACTAAACGTAAGACTTTGGAACTCAACCATACATTAATCTTTCGAAGATTTACAAACATACCACTCAATTCCTATGTATCTACATATCTAACACCTGAACTTCAATATTTATATACATGCCACCTTACCTATGAATGAAAAGGTGTATTTCACTTTTTAAAAATTAAAATGGCGGTATTTTTTATTTGATATGAAAGACATGGGTGGTATAAATGTGAAAAAGTAAAGTTTAGGTGTTAGATATGTAAATACATAGGAATTGGGTGGTGATACGTAAGTAAATGCCCCTTAATCTTTAGCCACCGGTAACAAAAGCATCAATTCAAGTAGAATTCACCTTAATCAGTTTATCGTCTCCACAAGTTACTATGCACGGCTGCTTATTTGGGGTTGAAAATGCAATATCGTTAACCCCTCCAACATGAGCATCAATCTGAGAATTCAGAAGTACTACTTGAGCTCATTTGTATAAGAATATGAGCAAAACTACTAACAAAGGAATCAACTTGCTCTATGAATACTTTACATACCTCCAAGTGCTGCCTAATATCATTACCACCATAATAGGAATATATTTGTACAATATACTTGGAGTAAGCAACACCTATGAAAGATTAGAATAATCATGTACTCAAGTTAAAAATTATCTCTTGGGACTTAACTTGTAAAACTGCTGATAAATAAGTTTTTTCTTGAACAGCTTACCAAACAAATTTCCATCTGGACTCCATATGATGCGGTTAACTGACACATCTGGTTCTTTAACCAGAGCAGTCTAAGGATCATAAAAGCAAATTTCAGTTTTGTCAGGAAATAAATTAAGAGAAATTTACATTAGTAGCACACAATTATTATGTATTTAAATTTTTTTGTGTATGTAAACATGAAACTTTATGTATGTAAACATGAAATGTATGTAAACTTTAAAACACTTTACATACGTAGAGAGAAGTGTTTTAAAGTTTCATGTTTACATTTCATGTTTACATCCATTTCATGAAATATTATAGCATTGGTAGAGAGAAGTTGCAAGCAATGGAAGAAAACCTGAAGGGGCATGGAGCACGCTCCAAGTTCCCAAACTTTAAAACACTTGTGGATCAGTCTCTCCCTCGTCCCGACATCCCACAACCCAATATCACCAACATTCGTGCCAACTGAACCATGTTTGAGACAATAATCAAAGACGGAGTACTCTTTAACAATTATGGTGAAGAAAAAGTTGATTAAACTACCCACCAAGAAGTATAGTTTGCTGAATAGGATGGAAATCCATGCTCATGGGAGTGGAGCCCTGATTTAGTGATCGGGTTACGGTTTTTGGCAAGTCATCTGGATTATACATATTCTGACTGTTGTTCTGAGTAAAAGCAACCGGCAATGCATTCACAGGCAGATTAACCTGTAAATAAGTGCATAATTTTCAAAAAATTAAAAAAAAAATTGCATCATTACCTATATAATAAAAACACTATCATCTGATTAATTGCATAGAACAAACCTCATCGGAGATCCCAATAGGCCTACTTCTCTTGGCTATGTGATCAGAATCTCCTGATGTGTAATCCATAGCTGGATTGTTTGGAGGGGTTCTAGGATGCTTCAAGATTGCTGCTACATTACAGAAAATAAACAGCATCTTCAAAGTTGTGATAATGTTCAAGTTTTGATTGGTGATACCTATAATTAAATTTTGGGGCATTTACATATCTAACTTATATATTTACATATCTAACTCAATACTTATATATTTACATATCTAACCCCCTAAATTTTGCTTTTTTACATTAACTCCACCAAAATTTTTCATATAATATACTAAATAACACTATTTTAACTTTTAAAAAGTGAAATACACCTTCTAATGATTAGATAAGGTGGTATATATGTGAAAATTGAACATTAGGTGTTATATATGTAAATATATAGGAATTGAATGGTATGTAGGTAATTTTCCTAAATTTTAATAAAGCATAGATAGAATCACTTACAAGGGTTTGCAGTAGTTGCAAATCCCATGGGGCCAACAGAAACTGCAGGATGAGTCACAGCTGGTGGATTTGACATCCAAGCAGCAAGGGGCATAGGAACTGATGCTGGTGTGGGTTGAAATGGCTTAACATGATCCAACAAAAACACACAAAATGAATCAATAGGATCATCGACATGCTTAAAAAAAGGAGACATTTACATAATTACCACACAATTCTTGTGTTTTTACATATTTTCATGCATACCACTCAAATTTTAAGATCACAGCAAAAATACCACCATTCTGTTGTCCATTCTAATATTTTCATGCATACCACTCAAATTTTAACATCACGACAAAAATACCACCATCACCATCTTTTTAAAAGTGAAATACACCTTTTCATGCATAGTTTTATGACAACAAGGTGTTACAAATGTAAATATCAAACTTTGGGTGTTATATATGTAAATACTATAAACAGATGATTCAGTCTGTATGTAATTTTTCCCTAACAAATAACTTCTGTGCTACCTACCCCGTGAGCACCTAGCGGAGGAAAAGCTCCTGGAGCTTTAGGCATGGATCCTAGAAGGGGGTTGCTGGCTGGAGATGGGGCACGTGCACCATTCTGTTGTCCACAAGAATGATCAACAAAAAGGGTTTTTATATCAGGATTGGGCCTTGGGTTTTTGCAGAGTTGGTGTTGCCAGTTCAAGCTGCCACATAAATATAGCATATTAAACCCCAGTTAGCCCCATAATTTCAAAAAGTGATCTTGGAAAAAAGAGGGTAGGTTATTGTAACATAACTTATTGGAAAAGTTTGCATAAGAAATATCATCTAAGAAAAAAAAAATTACAAAAGTTCTGTTACTCTCATTGCCACGTACTTCTACATTTTATTTTTCCATTATGGACTACTTGGTTCAACCTTGCATTGACTTAAGCCAACCTAAAATGACAGAGAGTTGTGTACAAATTACTTGCCTTTCTCTAGAGGGATCTGACCATTATATAAAAGAAAATAGGTATTATGCAAGGCAGTGATGGAATGTTTGCTCAATCAAATTTATCCTAATAAGGAAAAAATGCTTCAACTCCTAATCTATTAATATTTATGATTAGACTAATTAATTATACATAATTTTAGCCCTAGGTCATAACTGATATGATATTAAATGCATACTTTAATGTATATTATGCCAATATCTACCCTCAAATCGGTCAAGGAAGCATCCATTTGCCTATAGAAAACAGATGTCTTTGTCCCATTATTTCCTTTGTGGAGAAAGCTTTTTGAATTAAGTGATAGTCAGCTTTAATGACTTTTATTCGCTTATGATAAACTGGAATGGCAGAAATTTGGATGACACTAAAATTATCTACAGGTAGAGGAGTGGGATTGTCATGTTAAAATAGAAATACATGAAGCAAGCTAATTTATGAACATGCAACATACATCATAGGTTACTTTTGTAGAAGCGTGAGAACACTAAGTAGAAGATCTGTGTAGATTTCTTCTTGAGTTTACCATGCAAGAGGATTTTTTAACATCTACTTGACTAAGTGGCCATTCTTGTGAAGAAATAATCAATGTATGAGGACATTAGTTTGATTTTTTGTAGTGCAAGATAACCAAACAATCTCACAAATAGAAAGATGTAACGGAAAAAGTTGTCCGAATTTATGCCCCTTCATGAGTGCCATGCATAATATAACAATCACAAGAAAATCAAATATCATAATTATTATCAATCACATTTCCAAGTAAAGTGAGATTAGTTCAGAGCTTAAGAGAGAGGACATCTTTTATTGAATAGTTAATTTATACCCAAATATGTAACATGGTGTAAATTCAAAGCAATTAAGTGAGCTTACCAAGAACTAGGGTACGTGGGTTTCAAAATCACTCACCTAGGTTCAGAAAACACAACTAATTCAGAAAGCTCGAGATCGAAGGGCACTCGCTTACTGCAGAGAGTCCAAGCTCAATAAACATTCATCCAACACAACTAATTCAGAAAGCTCGAGATCGAAGGGCACTCGCTTACTGCAGAGAGTCCAAGCTCAATAAACACTCATCCAATCCAAAGGGCACCCAACTCCAAATGCAATAGCTCATTTGGTGCTCGGAATAAACTCGCCAATTTAGAAACGGTACACCATTCCTCTAGGTGGAAAGACCTTTAAAGAGCTCGCTAAAGAAGCAATTTGCATGTTCTCATTGGAATTTTGATCAATATGTCTTCGTGTTTGTTACAGATGTCATGTTTTTATTTATAAGATCAAAATATAACCTCTATTATAGCACCCAAATATCCTATAAATATGAGCTCAAACTGCATTTAGGGAGATGATAAATAGTACTATAGAAAGTGTGAAGAAATAAAATCTTTAAAAAATTTTGGTCCTATAAATAGGGATATCGTTGTCAATAGATTTGGATTCGACAATTAATATCTCTGATAGTTTTGATGAATAATTGACTACTATTAACAATCTGAATAAAAATTATACATAATATAATTGGATATTTTGTAAAATATGGGAAATATTAGTCATATAATTAAAAGTACCAAAATTCACAAGCCAAGATGAAGAGGATAGTGTATTTTCCCTTGGCGACCTAAGGTTGATAGAGCTGTAATTAATACATATCATTTGTTAAACTAGTTCAAGAGTAAAGCTCAAGTTTGTCCATATTTGCTAAACCTATAAACTAACCACTAATTGTTATTAGTTTAGAATTTGGTGCCAAATTTCTGGATGTCTAATAATCCTTAATCATGTGCCCTTGCTCCTCACAACAATTGCAGAATTTCTCTTTATCATAGGCAACATCATGTCTGCAACCATTACACATGAAGCATTGTATCTGTATATGTTACCTGGGTGCTTCCTACTTGATGTTATTGAAAAAAGGTTTGTGTTGCAAATCGTTGTTCCTCATGAAGGATATTTCTCTAAAGTACACATCCACATAAAAAGAGGGATCACAATTCAATAAAAGAAGTCTATTCCTTATCTATGAATAATTCAATTATATTGTTCAATTATCCCTATTTCTAGCCTTAATTTTTATGTAATAATTAATATGATAATAAAAACCAATTTTAATGCATATTACGTTGATACAAAAGCTTACATTATGAATTTCTTTTATTTTCTTTCTCTACAGTTTTATTTCAAAATCCTTATTCACATTTCCCTTCCCCTGTACTGCTACATTGGTGAAGCTCTCTCCTCTCTGTCATTCATTAAGACGACGTAAGAAAAAAGCTCAAAGCTATCTATGGGAGTGACACTTGATTAATTGTAAATTCAAATTAAGCAGCTAATAACTACTCCTAATCTCGATAATAAGGTTTAAATTCCAAGAATTATAAGTTAACTTTATGATACCTATCTTCAGTTTCCCAAAGTTCACTCAAGCTTAAGTTTTTAACTTTTTACCAAACAGTTTGAGCTTATTTCAGTACACTATTCTTTTGTCCAAAACTATACAGTTGCATTTAAGATTTAAACCACTAAGCATCTCTCTTAATAATTCATCACTTAACTTATATATATAGGCAATCACATAGATCTTGAAGACCATCTAAACAAGTTTTACTGAAGTATCCTGCACCTAGGTACATCGTTCTTACAAATTTCTAAATACTGAACAAAATCCTGAACAATAATTATTCTTTGTAGTGAACAATAAAATCAATAAATCAAAGATTATCGGTCTATAAGAATGCTTTGTAAACCAATTATTTATCCAATACTGCATGCCCACCGCCAATCCTCCTCTTTCTTACGACGCAAAAAAAATGTAAAATTCTCCTAATTAAAGCCAAGATGATGCATTGCATGCTTGAAATTCTAAGCACACGTGTCAAAATCCAAAAATAGGATTTGTAAAAAAAGGAGCGCATTTAGTAATGCAGAGCATTAGATGGCAGGATACCTCTGATTAATGAGCGTACGCAATCTCGAACTTTTTAGGTTCGGAAACTGCAATTTGTCGCGGAACAATGGGTTTGCCTCAATTAGTTTCTTAAGCTCAACTAGCATTATCGTCCTTGCTGATTTTGTATCCCCGTATTTCGAAAGTTGTTCATTTTCCCTGGAAGAGTATGTCTGTAATTAGAATCATAATACTTCAACATCAGGGAGCAGAACCCACTGGGATAACAAACCTAAAGTTTTCCATTGTCAAAAGCTGTGTAATTTCCTTAAAAAGATCCTCATTAAATGAGGCAAACACTTTCAGATCCTTCACGAGTATGTCCACAGCCTTAGCTCGTTCATGCCTGCAGAGTGCATTCCTTTCATCAATACGATGTCAAGTTGAAATAAATAAATAAATATAAATATAAATATAAATATAATAATAGTAATACTAAAAAACTAATCTTTCATTACTCAGTAATGAATAATAATAATAATAATAATAATAATATTGATAAAACTTACTTATCCAATGCTTCCAGATATTTCTGCTTCCTGATTTCAAAGAAAATTTTCATGGAGTACCGGTTGTCATCAACCTTAGTGAAACCAGAGAGGTACTTCTCCACTTCATCCCAGTTACCATTATGCACCTCATCCTCAAAATACTTCATGTTGAAGAAAAAGCCAGATTCATGCTCCAACCTAACACCATAAATATTATATAAATCCAAGCAAACCAAATCGAAAATAAATTATTAAATAAACCTGTAAAAAGCTTTGAAGCTCAAATAAAAAAAAAAAAATTTAAAAAAATCTCAGCCATCAAAATAAAACTTACTTATGTACCGTCTCCTTGAACTTCTCCTCGTCCAGGAACTGCAGGATTAAGAAAACTAACTCCCTGCTCAGAGACGACATCGCGTGGACTTAATCCGCCTCACTTAGCTGGTCCAAACTTCCAGATCTTTACCCCCAATAACTTAGCAGAAAAAAAAATCTACACACAAAAAAATAAAAATAAAAAAACCCTATTCCTCCGCCGCAGCAGAAATCGCAGCTACTTGAACGGGAAATAGTTGCCAAAGTTGAATATATCAATAATTCAGGAGATCAAATCTAAAAAAAAAAAAGAGAAACAAAAAACTCTCATCGACAAATATTTGCTTACAGCTCGGACGACGGAGCAACGAAGCAGCTAGAGATCAACAGCTTACAGACTCGATCAGAGAGTCCATGGAGGAACTATGAATCTCCTCTCTCTCTCTCTCTCTCTCCCTCTCTCTCCCCCCCCCTCTCTCTCTCTCCACAATAATAAGTTAAAAAAGTAATGGCCATTTTGACGCAGAGAGGTAGTATTAATGTGGGGAGAGATAGAGCGAGAAGAGAGTGATAAGTACTTGTGTAGATCGCTTGATAAAGCGCTGAACTTATGAGTATAAGTAGATCTTCTTATGATAAGAAGTGTGAGAAAAGGGACCCACAGCGGCCGGCAATGCCTTGTCGACTATCACGATGCGGAATCCGGAGGCCGAGAAAGTATTTGCGAAACGTAAACACGGAACACCTTTTTTAAACAGAAAACCATATTAGTTAATGACGTGGCAACATTTAAGTGGATAATAATGGTGCCAACAGTCTCACAGCCAGAGGGGATCAAACAATAGAAACGGTCATTTCCCTCATTCTAATTATTGTGCCGTGGAAGTTAACTAAAACTACGAAAATGCCACTGCTTTCTACGTACCGTCACGTGAGACCCACGTACTTCTCGTGAATGTGCAGCTAATTTCTCGCAGTTAGGGAAATATTATAATAGCTTATCGTATCCTCTCGTGCTATGGAACGATAAATTGGAGAAATTTTGCCCTTTATCGTATTTTTATACCATTACAAAGCGAGTTAAGTGTTTAGGCTGAGATGCGATGACCCCACGGTAAGGATTAGAAATACTGACCGCTTTATTCTTTTTTTCCAAAATTGAACTGAACGCCAACGCCTCCCCATCAACCAATCAGACAATTCCGTCCAATCTCTTGTTTGGTTCTGCTAATCCTATACTGATGACAAGCTAAACGACAGATAAAGAAGGATTTTTTTTCAAATATATATCTGAAAAAGAAATTAAAATATAATTTATTAAATAAAAAATTGAGTTAATTTATATATGAATTAAGTAGAATGAGCGTTCCAATCCGATAATTTATTCTTTTTATTTTATTTTTAATCAATATTTAAATTATTTTTTAGGGGTATTTACAAACCTACCCCACAATTCTTAGATATTTACATATATATA